CCTCCCTTTGTGTGATTTTCCCGCCTTTGTAATTGTCTGCCCCACCCCTGATTGTTTTCACCTGTTTTCACTTAAAAGTGGTATAAATAGTTCTTGTTCCCCTTTGTCTTTGTCAGTTTGTCTTGTTCAGTTGGTAGAAAGAGTATTGTTAAGTGTTCCAGCCCAATGTTCTGGTTATTTCATGTTTCAATTGAAGTTTGTGTTTTGTTGATCCTCCTTGAGACACCTTTTGTTTGAATTTTATTTTGCATAAATAAATATAATTTTTTGCTACATCTTTGTTTGTCCCAGAGTCGTGCATTTGAGTCCACCAGTATTGTGTCAGAGGTTGTGACATAAGGACGAACTGGAATTTCCTCCTGGGATAAATAAAGTTACAATAGGTAAAATGTGTTGGCTATGGTTTTAAAATGTCCATGTTCTCTAACCCTCCGATGTGCCTCCCTACCTTCTTGTATCTCTGAGCAACAGCGTAGATGTCCACAAGTCCGTCATTGGAGCCAACAGCGAGGTATGCTCCGTCTGGAGAAAACTTCATCTCATGGATCACCTCCTTCCTATCTTTGATGTGAACGACCTCCGTCATGTCTCTGATACGGACATATAAAAAAATATCCTGTTTATGCCACGTTACAACAAAGAAATATTAGATTGTAATTAAGTTTGTTTGTCCTGATACACTGTTGAATTTTGTGTGTGTTACCTGACTCTCAGTACAGTAAAGGATCCATCTTTCATGCCCAGAGCCAGCTGGTATCCGTCCACACTGAACGCCACACTCCGCACTGCCTCCTCCATGTTACAGCGAGCGATGAGTGCGTGATCCACTAGACTCCATAACCTGACACGCACGCACACACACACCCAGTCAGATGAGTCACATGAATTCCAATATGTTCAATCAGACCTGTATCTGATTGGGCCACATGAAAGTCAGCCAAATCAGAATTGAATAGATCAGATTCCATGTGATTTGTGCTGTTCACACTGGCATAAAAAAACTGATCTGAAAAAACTTTGTCTGCAGTGTGAACGTAGCCCTAGCCTGCTAGAAGAAATCCTTGTTACAGTCCACTGCTGCAGGTAATGAGCCTCGTTGCCTCAGTGGCCTAAAGCAGCTTTGTTAAAAGGTCTAAGGAGGAAACTTTGCTGGAATTTTAAGCACCATTTAAGAGGACTCCTAGTATAAAATAAGATCCATAGTTAATACAGACCTAGAACTGTTGTTTCCATTTTCACTGTTGACAAATGTATTCACTGTAGGCAGTACAGCACAATTCTTCACAAGAAAGAAATATTTAGTCTCAGGAACTCGCCCCCAAAGCGGGTGGAGTGCAGTGAAATCTAGTCAAATCTGCCACGATTGTCACTGTGAACAAAGGCCGTATATATAGACAGTACAGGCAGTGTGGCCCTTGTGAGTGATTCAATTGCAACCTTGGAAATATGCCTGTGTTCAAATAAGAACTGATGTTAAATTAGAAACAGTGCTATATATGCCTCGAAAAAGGCAAACCCATCTCTGTCATGGTTTGGTAGGGTGTATAAAAGACATAGCTGGTTTGTGAGTACGCGCGCGCGCGTGTGTGTGTGTGTAGGCTTGTTGTAACCAGCTCACACCACTGCTGTACACTGCAAATAAGCCTTCTCAGAATGCAAACCTTGACTGACATAGCATTATGTAAGAAAAATAAAATAAGAAAATCAACAAACTTAAGAAGCTGCATGAATCAGCAGGCGGCAACAAACATGTCAGCATCTTTCTCTTTACTAATGCTGTTTCCATTATCACCTGTGTGCAGCTGACTGTGTGTGTTTATATCATTATATAACATGTAATTGGTCTCTCAGGACTTTCCTGCAGTACTGAAAAGAAAACAGTGAGCAAATGCTGGGGATGAACAGAAACCATTACCGCATTAGAAATCTGTCACAAAGATGCTCATGAGTAAGACACTAAACCTGTGATCCACCTGTAGCAGCCTGTGGTTTTACTGGGCTCCCAGGATGCGTGTCCTCGCACTGACCTGACGGAGCGGTCGTCGCTGCCGGTGACAGCCAGAGGTTTTTTAGGGTGAACGTCCAGCGCCCAGAGTTCGCCCTCGCTGTGTCCCTGCATGATCAGCAGTGGCTTGTCTCGATCCCTTACCATCACCTGGACAGACGCCAACAGACACATTTAAAACTGAGCCCAAACTTGATAGTTAACATTTTATGGCAGCATCATTTAAAAATCTGAAAGCAGGCTGAAACATAAAAAGTGCATCTCACAGTAAGCACAGATTTGATATTTGCTGGTCAAAACATGTGAAAACCAGGTTCAGTTAGACGTCTAGGCTCAATGTGTAACAAGATTAACAGTATATATAAAGGACAGAGTTTCTGGGTCTGAAAAGTGAGCATTCTTCCTAATGGCCAGCTGGGGGAGCTCAATTGGCTGCAAAAAAGTCTTGAGAAATGAGCCGACTACTCACTTCATTTATTAGCTCAGTAAACAGT